TAGTCATTTTTCTTAGTCATTTTTCTATTTCCAACAACTACTATATTGCCTAGTAGGTTCTAGCTATGTTAATAAAACATGACATAAATAAGCTATATGCTTCAAGTTATTAGGACCGTTTGGTCTGTATAAAAATGTCTTAGTTTTAAAGGCTTGCTTTTAGAACTGTGACTACTAAATAGACATTACAGAGGAATATTTGGGGGCTCAATATAAAGAATATTCTAATAATTTGAGATATTCACAAATGCAATATACTGATTGTGAGTAGTAATCATTTAACCAGTGAAAGCCCTCAAGCAACAGAGGATAATTTATCTGTGTCTATTATGTGTGTATATGGATGAATAACAGGAGGCTAAAGTAGATATTTCTTTTTAATCCAAAGAATACCTTTATATTTAACTGGTACTGGTGTGAATTTGTGTTGGTCGGGGGAGGAGGGAGGAGGGGAAGTGATATCCAGAAGCTATTTTCAATATTACAGAGGCTAAGGAAAAATTAAGTTTTCCCAACAAAGCTTCACAGCTTTTAAAAACTTCAAAATATTTTGCTTTGGGCCAGATGAATCAATTCAGTGTGGTGACATGGTTATCATTTGGAAATAAAACACCAATTGGCTGTTAGCTATGCACTACCTTTGATTTTTGTAAAAAATTAAAAAAACAATTGTTGTTCCTAACTCCAATTTGTTTGGAGGAGGAGGGAGTTCTAAATGTGGAGTCCATGCAGAAAGTATATTAAAAGAATTTTTAATCTTGAGAATTGAATTAATTTCATTCTATACTTTATTTAGTGGACTCTTACTTCCCTAAGTTTTTAAATCTCTCTTAGATAAGGATGCATGCTTCAATGGGCTATGTGTTATATATATTTAATTGCAGTGTTTAAAAAAATATTTTCCAGTGGTACATAAAATAGAAGGTGCAGCATATAATCCATAGTGTTTTTATGGCCAAAGAAATGGAGTAAGTGAGTCATAATGGCTGAGAGAGTTTATATGGTTCTGGTGTCAGGACTGCCTGAGTGTAGATCCTATGCTAGCGACTATAGCTCCTTAATTTCTGAGTATGAGTTTTCTCATCTGTAAAATGGAGATAATAATATCTACATCATAGATTGTCAAAAATGAAATGAAACGATGATTACAATGTGTTAAACAACTCTTCTTATATCAGTTCCAATTTGTCATAGCCAGAAAGAGTTAATGCTTCTCCCAAATTGCCAAAATTACCAGAAAAAAATTACTGAAAATTTTTGAAGATCTGACATTATTTTATTTTATTATGCAAATAATTTTGACCTCCAAAGATTATTTATTTTGCTTCAGAAGCCTCATTTCTTCTGTACTGCTAACCAAACAGTTTATTCCATTTTGTGCAACAATTTATAATGAACGTTAAAAGAACTACTGATTATCTTAGGGTTTTTTGGCTCGATTACCTGTTTCAAATGCTCAATGACTAAGAAAAGCATGTCATTTTCTCTTCTCTCACACACTGGAGTATAACAATAGACTGTGAATAGAGCAAATCAAAGAGACAAAAATACCAGTATAAGGGGCCCATTGTGTTTAGTTTGTTGCTCTGTCATATGGTTTTAATTTAGGTTGGCTGATTGATTATGACAAATTGACAGATAGCACATTGTTCCTCTCTTGGAATCGCTAGACATTTAATATTCCTATTCTTATCTGTCCATTTTGATTCCTAAACTTAAATGAAATGGAATTACAGTATTCACTTTGTTTTCCTGTGCTAAGTGATTATCTCTGAAGTGCAATTTTGTGATTAGGCGAGACGGCATGCATACACTCAACTAATGCTGATTTCCCCCAGGGTGCAGAACAGGTAAATTCATAATGAATGGATGTTGTGCTTTGATTTCAAATGGATGTAAAACCTTACCACACTTGGTAGTTTTATTTTAAAAATGTATTTAATTATTCTAAAATTAAATACAACTTTGTAGTGCAGTTATTTAAACACATGCATGATTATTCATGTGTTAATGAGATAAGACCTTTTTTCACAAAGGTGAAGAAGCAGTGTCTGAATTAGAAGTAAAGTTTTAGATTTTTCACCAAAAATGCATATATGTTCAAAATGTCTGTAACATCTTTCTAGATAATTCTAAAAATATTCAAAGAGTCAAACAATACAAATTTAAATTTGGTTTTCTGATATCTTTATGAACGCAGTTTTTAGTTTACTAGAGCAAAGTATGCTAGAGCAAATTATACAAATATAGATAAATTAAAAAATCATGTAGGCTGTTTATTAACATTTGTTCAGGAAAATATTTTACTAATTAAAAACTTTACAATTAAAATAAACCTGGTGATTTCTATAATATTCTTTCCCATTTCAGGGACTGAGTGACATTAACTAAATATATCAAAAAAGATTTAGGGGGAAATGCACATCATGTTTAAATATAGCCTGAAATATGCCATCTAGATGGTATTGGAAAACCATATATTTTGTCATTAGTGAGAATGCTTATTATGTGGATGCAAGATGGGGTTGACTCATGGTAGATACAGGCCCAGGCATTGTTGCAGCCCTTTGTGGAGTTTACAGCCTTTAAAGCCTGTGTCTGAATTGGAGGCAGAATCAGCTTGATGATTTCAAGAGATCTTTTGATCATCTCCTTGTCAAATCAGATGTCTGAAGATGGATTCAGGACTCGACCAAACTCAAGTCCACATCTCTGGCCAGGTAATGACTGACTTCCTTGAAGAGTGTGATGAAATGTTACATTTTCAACTGTTTTCATAACCATTTGCCACTGTTTACCATACTGTCAATCAATGAGTAGCAATGTTAGCTGATAAACTAATTTATTCATCTCTTTAACCAATGTTAGTGTGATACTGGCTGAAACTGGCTTTAATGCCCATTTTTGATCAAATGACCTTGAGAAGTGTATAGAAGTTGCCTACTAATACCCTAGTTAAGAATTGGCATTAATACTCAAGTTAGAACAGTCTGATCTGTTTAATTAAAAAACAAAATTTGTTATTTCAAAATAAGCCATTTCTTTACAGACCAAAATCTCTGTTGGAAATGTTCTTATCTGTGTTATTTTCTCATCTCAAATCAGAATCCTACTAAT